TTTCAATCTTTGAAGTGCTGCCTAATTTTCTGAGAATATTTCAATTTGCTGGGCAGATTGACATCTGGTAGTGGTATATTCTAGTGCCTGGGTTATTGCTTCCAATTCCCCATAGTACACCGATACTTTATCTCCAATATTTGACTTCCACTGGACGTTGAGCTCGCCAGTTCTATCAGTGGCTACTAGTCCAATCCCAATACCAGTGCTGTCACTATGAGACAAGGCGTCTGTATAAATAAATATTGTATTTGACCAGTTAATATTGGAGCTCCTAATTTTATGGTTTTCTACTGATTTTTCTTTATCTATGTTCACTCTATATGTTGGTCTATAAGTCCATGGTGGAAAAGCTTGGGGAATAATGACCTCAGTTGTTACATCATCCAGCAAGTGTTCTTGAAGGCATTTATTTCTTCTTAATTGGGTTGGCTTCTGAAGAATGAAATCTTTGTCTTGCATCTCTATATTAACAGGATGATAAGGGGGTAATTTTTACAGTCTGAAAGCAAACTTAGCCATGCTAGCTCTCAATCTAATTTTTGGTGACAGTAAACATGATTCAACTTCCATTGAGAGGAAGAAGGAAGAGACAATGTTATACGCATTTCGAGATACCAGTTAAATGACTTTATTCGCCGACCTCATGACGGAAAGCTGACATCGTGACAGTATCCAATCTGTATTACTTCGTGTTTTACCAACAGGCTCATCTCAGCATCTCGTCGAGGTGTCGTTTTCTTCATTGGAGGCCTTATCCAGACACTCACCAAGACCTCCGCAGTTTGTATTCCCTTTTGTTCCTTCATGCAGCAGTTCAGGAGCTAGGGACAAGACATAAGCGTTGTCGTTACACTAATGCAAAAGCACAGGTTTCGCCTTTCACGTGTAATATAGTATAATATATGGGCTTGGTTCACAACTCCAGTGACGCAGTGGTTAGCGTGTCGTTCTTATACTAGTAGTTGATAACACTAATATGATCTGGCTTGAGTCATGCGAAAGTCGTGGGTTCGACACCCACCTGGAGTAACATTTTTCGTCCGTGGTCCGGTGGGTAGGATTTCAGGTCAACATCCGGTCCGCGGGTTGCCGAGGCTCGACTCCCCGTCAAGGAGGCAAATTGTTTGTGGTGAACACCAGTAGTGTGGTTCCCACTATCAAATGAAGGGAATTCGCAATCAGAAAGGAAAAGAATGATCGTTATTAAGTATTCTGTCCCGCACAGTTGTAAACCTCGAATAGGACTTAAAAGGATAAATAAAATAAATAAATATCAGTTGACAAATAAATGATACACAATCTTCTGTCTACTTTATATCTAGATCATCATACTATAAACTAGTATCGTGAGCCCTGAGCGGAAAACTCCCGTATTACCTGCTGGTAACCACAGCGGCGTACGGGGACAATTCTCAACACCTGTCAGTCGTGTCCTCTTCGAACCCCAGCTCTCACTGTAGAGGCTGCAGAGCTGAGATTGAATAACAACGTCTTCACTTCTATGAGGATTTCCCATTGTCTTCACCTCTAAGCATGAAACCCCAGCATCATGATCATGGAGCTAAACTCGATCAGATCAAATAGTAGGGTCGAAGCCTTTCTCATCGCCAACCCTTGATCATGGAGAAGCGATCCCCTGAGTTTCCAGAGCGTACCCAGCACCCGATACTGAGATGGCGGATTGGATCAAGTCGGCCTCGACTGTTGCAAAGAAGGGAGATATAGATGAATATGCGCACCTCATGTGGTCCCGGTGTACAGGTCTCGCCTGGCTGGGGCTGTAGGTTTTTTGAAACTTTTTCCCGCGCACGCACTTTCCATTGCTACCTTTTTTTTTTTTTTTTTTTTTGGGGTAGAAGGTTCCGTGGAAAAGGTGGCCAAATCCCACGGGTAAACACTGAGCTGAATGGCTATTCATCAAGGGGAATATATTAATGATCTTTCAAGTAACAAAAGAGGATAGGAGCACTGTACAAGGTGTGGCCTGGATCAGAGAGCAGCCCAACGTGCTAGATAATCATAGACTCAAGTAGCACAATAAACACACACATCACAGAGGCGAAAAAACCCCTGTTTGGGAAATCCCGTCAGACAAGAGCTATGAAGGTCTTATGAGGCAACATGCTACCCAAGATAATCCTTGACCGCTGAAATGATGGCGAAAAACAACAAACGAAACAGCACCAAGTGGATGGACACTGTTGGGAGAAAAAGGATGGGTAGCATTTTATCGATTCCTTACCGTGACAGGATGTTACGGAGAGCAAAGTTAGACTAGAATGACCGAGGTTTTCTGGGTTACAAAGATTACAGGCAAACTGTTATGAGAAAGCTGGTTAGGCGCAGAGCAGCAAAAAATTTCATTAACATTCCTGTTTGTTTGTACGATAACGTGTTAGGTAAAGCGACTACTGTTGCACTCCTAGTGGAGCTTAAGCACGGATGGGGCCGGGCTGGATCAGGTTAACTACCATAAAGTACATCTACCTCGTCCCTCAGAATTCATCCATGTGTTGAATCATGTCAAGCCCAACCGTCCAGAGAACCACCTTTTGGCGCGCCGAAGCGCAAATTCCTCCTTAGCCTCGACCTCCACGCGCCCGAGTCCTTGACATCTTCGCCATCTGTAATTTTCCCCTTCCATCCAATCCCAGCCTTGGCTCAATCTCAGCATATCCTCATCTCGTCGAGGAGTCGTTTTCTTCATTGGAGGCCTTATCCAGACGCCCACCAAGGCCTCCTCAGTTTATATTCCCTTTTTTCCTCCTCTATACAGCATCCCTTTGTCCTTGAGACAGCCTCATCATCATACAAACTTTGTAGAATGTCCAAGCCTCCGGCCTTGCTCCATCACTGCCGTATACCTCACCGTGGAGGTCGAAAACGCGACTGAGAGCTCATGACCGAGGCACCGGTGCCCCAGCCTCTGTCGAACGCTCTGGTTGGTGTACTGGCGAGATTTCGTACGTATTTCGTCGGTGGCGATTCGTCGCAGCTCTAGTTGTTGGTGCCCTTGGTCGAGGTGAGGACGCATTGAAGGCCAGTATTTCGACCGAACATTCACAGCGGCTGGCGGTTGCGGAGGGTCGGACGTCCTCTTGCTTCTTTGTTGGCGATTTGGCTTTTGGAGGTATAGGATTGCTTTGGTAGGTGGTGAGATGATTTTGGAGAGGGCCGCCAGATAAGTTTGGCTGGGTATGATCTTCCAGAGAAAAAGAAAATAAGATCTTGAAAGATGTCTGTTTTTGTAATACGAATGTCAGACAGGTTTTAGCCTGTCTGCAGTTCGTATCTGGGGTGTAGATGGTTGGTTTAGTTCAGTTGTGCATTCGCGAAATCTCTGCAATTCGAATTTTCGAGCAAAAATGGGCCAACATCATTCCTCCCGATCGCCAACTCGACGAAAACTCTCGAGTTCACCCTTTGTCATGACTGAATCTTGGCTCTTGAGGAATATTTTACCCCCAGGTTCGTAGAAGACACCACTGACAGGCGTTCCGTCTTCGTCCTGCCCCTAATATTCTTGGTTTTCATTCATATAAATTTCTGGCTTTGCAGAGCTAGCTTCAGTGATAGTTCTGGGCCCTTCAGGATCCTGCACCCGTGTCAAGCCTCCTGGGTGTAGGGCTTTAGCCTGATACGTTAAATTGCTCCAATCAAATATCGCTATCCTTGACCTGTGACTCCACTTTTTTTCAATCATTTATTGAAAATTCCACTACCTGACTAAGACATGTGATTAGCGCTTGGTATAAAAGTTGAGTGACTCTTTATATGTTAGCTGTCGTTTTCGGAGGGGTCTTGCTTTTAATGCAAAAAAAAGGTCTTGCTTTTCGTGAATTCTACTTTGAGGAATGCATGCTTCTGTAAGCAGTTGACCCTTATCCGTGAGTATCCGACGAAGGGAAGCTTCAAAACCATTGATTACCCAAGTATTCCTTTACCATCATGCACCCTAGCACAGCGAAAAATGTGAGGTATCCCTGGGTTCATAATAACAAGCTCCTATTTCAATTGGGATAGGTATTCAAGCCATCTAGAAAGTATTTGGGGGATCGGCTCAGATCAAGTATCACTGCACAATCCAACCATGGCGGTGTTTATAGTGTCGCCTGCAATCTCGGAATCTAGGGCTTGGCACGAGCAATGCTCTTCAATATGCAAGACAAAATCAAACTTCTATCCTTACCAAGATTGTATCCACTGTTAGCATCATCTTATCCACTTGTCCTGATCTTTCTCGCGTCCTTCCAAAAAATCTGCGTCCCGGATTTGTGTCCTCCGGCGTGTACGTGGAGGCCAGCTGAGGCCAGAGAATAATCTGACGAGAGCCAGATCATAGAAATAAGGAAGGACTAGATCATATTTGTAGACTCGATGCTTTGGTGGGTGATGAACCCATTGAAAGGGAGAGATCTATTTGGTGTATGGTACTGAATCATTGCCTCGCGAGCCCATTTCTTCACTGTTGTTAAAATTGGCTGGACCTGGAACTAGCAAAATATTTCATCTCCAGGTTTGTAAAGTGCACCGCCTACAGGTGTCAAGTCTTTGTTATCGCCCACTCAAGCTTGTTTAGCATGAGAAATCCGAGCACAAGTCATAACCCCTTTCTCGCTGTGATTATAGTTAAGGTAGTTGTCATTTGAGATTAGCAATGGACAACAGTTCGAAAATAGATAGATGGCTAGCGCTATTTGTTGCGATGCGATAATTTTCTTGAGAGTAACAAGCGACTCAACCAGAACTACATCGAGTAAATATCCTCGAATCAATCAACAGGTGATTGAAGTGAAAAACATGAGCTTTTCAAAATGAGTAAGGGTTTATACCTAATTTGACAACGGCAATTGTGTGAATCAATACAGACTACTGACTTCCCAGTGATTATAACATACGACTAGCCTCTACCCAAAATTTACTTGTAGACGTGTCTTTAATAATCACAATTCAATTTGTGAGAATTTCTTCCAACAGGAAACCTTCGATGACCGACAATGGTCAAGAAAGGTAATAACTCGAAGGGTCATACGAAAGCTTCGAAGCATAGCGTTGTAGGAGGCTCAAAGGGCCAAACGCCATCGGCAACACCTGACGATGGCTTCATCGTCTTCACCAATTCCGAAAAGAGCCCAAAACCTAAAAAGCCAAATGTATCACCAGAAGATCATTCAAACTTATCCACAGAGGCACCCAAGAGGCCCGACGTTAAGAAACTCATTGGGGGTGCTTCATGGACAGGAAAATTACCAGTTAACATGCTGTCTGAACACTGTCAAAAACAAAATTGGGAAAAGCCAGAGTATACCATTGTAATTTAAATAAACAAGATACTCCGATCAAGCTCTAACATCGCTACAGTGTAAGACTCCTGAAGGCTTCTCAGCCATGGTCATACTGAAAGCAAAAAACTCCAAAACTAAAGAACTTATAACACTTCCGCCATTCAAATTACCCCCAACACACAAGCACCTTGCTTTTAAGCCTTCGGCCCTCGAGGCGAGACATTTTGCCGCAACATACGGTCTTTTTCGTGTTTGCAGCATGCGAAATATCCACATGATGATGCCTCCTGACTATCGAGATCTATGGAAAGGAGATTTTGAGGCACTTAAGAAGGAAGATGTTAAAGGGGGGCGTTCATGGATGTACGAAGCTGATCCATTTGCAGCGTTGAAAGAGAGAGAAGAAGCAAAGGCATCAGCCGAGAAAACACGCATTGAAAAAGAGAAGGTTTTCAAAAACTTGAAAAATAGTGCCCCCGGTTTAATAGCCTCCCACCAAGGATCTAGGCAAGGCTTAACAACTCCATATCATTCAAAAAGTTGGACTGAAGTACCTAAGATAGAAATGGGTAAAAGAATGCGGACTAAAGTTGAAGAGTTAGTTCGTAAACATGCAGTCTGGAATACATACGGAGTAAATTTATCTGGCCCCCAAAAAAATATTATCGTAAACGAACTCAAGAATCTAGGATTTCGACAGAGCCATGTCGAAGAAGCAGTTGTAGAGTGTAGAGATCGAGAGGAAACTCTTGAATGGCTTCTCATTCATGTACCAGAAGACGATTTGCCTGGATGGTCTTTACCCGAGGGATACGTTGCTGGCATCAGTATGGCTAGTGGTGACTTAAAGAGAGAAGCAGCTATCAAGCGACTAGCTGAGGCCGCTTACCCACCAGATCTTTGTACGAAAATTTACGACAGAACAGGCGATGAGAGCAAAGCTGCAGAAGACTTGCAACTTATTTTACTATCCAGTAGCAGAATTCTTGACAAAGCCAGCGGTTTAGCTATCGAAACCCCGCCTGAATCATCTATACTTCAATGGAACGAGGAGATGATCAGTCTAGAAGCTGTGTTTGGCGGAAGATTTTCTCAACGTGATACGGAAGTTTGCTGCATTGTCCTTGAGCCAGCAGATTACAATTTCAGCGCACAACCTGTGTTACAGGTGAGAAAATCACGATGCTATCCGGATAGAGTCCCCGTAATTTCAATCCATGCAACTCTCCCCGCCTACATTCGATTAAGCATAGTGAAACAGGCTCTTAATTATGCAACAGAAAATCTACTAGGAGACCATATGTTATTCTTTCTCATCGACTGGCTTGAGAAAAACTTTCAAGGTATCGTGGAAAACCCTGGTAAGCTTCGTGAAGTCACTGTGGCGACTTCTCCTATCAGTGAAATTAGGACTGGCTATATTAAAAGACAAAAAGTTACCAGAAAGCCGCGACCCCTCGTAAATATCCCAAATATACGTAGTCGAGATGATTGGGTGCATCGTCAAAAAGATCCAAAGCTTCAACAAAAAGTTCTGCTACGAAAAAAACTTCCAGCATGGGAAATGAAAGATATTATCGTCCATAGTATCTCCTCGCTACAAGTCACGATTATTTCGGGGGAGACAGGTTCTGGAAAATCAACCCAATGTGCTCAGTTTATTCTCGATGAAATGTATCAAAGATGCTTGGGAGAGTGTACAAAAATCATGTTTGTTAACTCATTTAATGATGAAAGTTATCACTAATCGTTTTTAGCTGCACACAGCCCAGAAGAATCTCCGCGCTAGGCTTAGCAGACCGGGTCAGTGAAGAGAGATGTTCGACAACTGGACAAGAAGTAGGCTATATAATTAAAGGAGAATCTAAGATAAGCCCAAATACAAAAATCACTTTTGTTACTACGGGTGTTCTCCTGAGAAGATTACAGACTTCAGGTGGCAGCAAGGATGACATAGTTTCCAGTCTAGCTGACGTTAGTCATGTTTTCATTGATGAGGTTCACGAACGGAGTTTAGATACAGATTTTCTGCTCGTTCTCTTAAGGGAGGTTATGAAGAAACGAGCAGATCTGAAACTGATATTGATGAGTGCTACGCTCGACGCTGGGATCTTTGAAGATTATTTTAAGGATACCTGTACAGTTGGCAGAGTTGAAATTAGTGGAAGGACATACCCAGTTGAAGATTTCTACCTGGATGATGTAATCCAAATGACCGGCTTTGGAATGAGAAGAGAAGATGAAAATAGAAAGCGAGAGATAATTAAGACAGATGCCAGAGAGACCGAAATCTCTAATGCAATCAGATTGGTTGGTATGCGCATCAACTACGATCTAATCGCTCAGCTGGTCGAGAGTGTTGATGGTGAATTATCACGTGTCAAAAAAGATGGTGGCATCTTGATTTTTATGCCAGGTGTAGCTGAGATCAACCGTACCTTGGACCATCTTCGTCAGATTCCCAACCTCTATGTATTACCACTCCATGCGTCCCTTCAATCCGCTGATCAGCGAAGAGTTTTTTCACGAGCTCCCACCGGTAAAAGGAAGATCGTCATTGCCACAAATGTCGCCGAAACTTCTATCACTATAGACGATATTATCGCTGTTATCGATACAGGACGCGTTAGAGAGACAAGTTATGATGCGCAGAATCAGATTCAAAAGCTAGAAGAAGTATGGGCGTCACGAGCGGCGTGTAAGCAAAGGCGTGGTCGTGCTGGTCGTGTTCAGGCGGGCAAATGTTACAAGATGTTCACCCGAAGTTTAGAGGCCAACGAAATGGCAGAACGACCAGCGCCAGAAATTACTCGAGTTCCACTTGAGCAGCTCTGTCTCTCGGTACGTGCAATGGGCGTAAGGAATGTCAGCGACTTCCTTGCCAGTGCATTAACGCCACCAGAAAGTTTAGCAGTTCATAGTGCCATGGAGTTTCTTTGCAGGATGGGAGCTCTTGATGGAGACGAACTTACTGCTTTGGGACAGTATCTAAGCATGATTCCAGCTGATTTGCGATGCGCTAAGCTAATGGTATACGGGGCAATTTTTGGGTGTTTAGAAGCTTGCATCACGATTGCAGCTATTCTTACCATGAAGTCGCCATTCGTTTCACCCCAAGATAAGAGGGAGGAATCAAAAGCCACCCGAGCTCGATTTGCACAGAACCATGGTGATCTAATTGGTGATCTCCGAGCATATGAGCAGTGGAGCGAGATTACCAATGATGGAACTATACGATATGGTCAAATCAAAAGTTGGTGCTCGGAAAATTATCTCTGCCATCAGACATTAAATGACATTTCATCTAATCGGATGCAGTATCGCTCGTCACTTTGTGAGCTCTCGTTTATTACCTCGTCAGCCTCTGCTACAACAAGTCTTCGGAAGAATAATAACAATAATGCTTTAATTCGGTCTCTCTGTGCCGGTGCTTTTAATCCACAGATAGCCCGAATCCAATTCCCTGATCAGAAGTTTGCGCCTTCAATGTCTGGTGCCGTGAAACTAGACCCCGAGGCCAAGACTATCAAGTATTTTAATCAAGAAAATGGTCGCGTGTTTGTTCATCCCAGTTCAACTCTCTTCAGCGCCCAAAAATTTCCAGGAAACAGTATTTACTTATCTTATTTCAATAAGATGGCAACGAGCAAGGTGTTTATCCGTGATCTCACACGTAAGTTTCCTCGCTCTTCCTCAAAAGCAACTGTCCTTAGTAACAAAAATTCAGCTTTTAACGCCTATACGGCTCTTTTATTTTCTGGGCCCATTGTTCTCGATACTCTTGGTCGTGGCCTTATCATAGATGGCTGGCTACGCATGCGGGGCTGGGCGAGGATTGGTGTTTTAGTAAGTAAGTTGCGTGGTATGCTTGATGAATTACTAGCCCAAAAAATTGACGAACCTGAACTTGATCTCGTTGGAAATGAAATCGTGGAGACTGTACTTAAATTGGTTGAATTTGATGGTATGGACCAGTAATAGATAGTAATATTTGTTGTAATTCTAACAGTCCTGCATCTTTTACACTAGTCATGTACTATCTCGTTTTCGTTTCCGTTATTTGTATCATTTAATACTGCGCCACATCTATTTTCTGTAATATTAATTAGTCTTGGCGCTTAACACAAGATATGTTGGAAATTATGGTATATGCATGATTCTGTCTTACACTCAGCTAGCTTGGGGGTCTACTGGTGGTCAAGAGATACCTTCGCCATGATAACGTCGCCATACTGGGACATGGGCGCATATCTTGGCTTATTTCTAAATTCGGCTCAGTAGGACTAATTCCTGTATATATGTGTAGTGTACTTCTCCTTCAGCAATCCTCAGTTCATTACATTTACTGAATATCTCTGAAGGTCTATTCATACCCTCTTCGTGTCACCCCACCAAGCTTCACCCTTAAGCTCTATTCAACTGCTTCGTTGTTCGGCATATATCCTTCACCTACCTATACCATTCCAGCATTCCTCTACGATCCATAACTGTCACGGTCTGAATGTCGATGCGAGAGCTATCAGATATACGAAGGTAGTTTATTATTTTCTCTGTGCCTATCTATACAAGCCCTACCTCAGCTATTTATACACTTACTTTACTATCTGGAATATTCTTCTCGCCTGTAACCAGTTTCTAGTATGTTCCCCTGAGGCTGGTTTGCAGTCCTACTACTAGTTACTAGACATTTCTAGTGACGTCCCAATTGGTCTATGAAAGAGTATTGAGTTTCGAAGATATGTACAGCACGTGATTACTTTCATGTGACACTGAATAATTACCGGCTCACTAGCCGTTACAATAACCTCACAATAATATTTGGTCAGGAAAGACTACTTTCTGTCACGGATTCTAGGACAGGTGCTGGAGCAACTATGTGGTTGATGGTAGTAGATAATAATTCTAAGGAGAGAACTACTACAAGATCTATCTACACATGTATATATACAAAAGAGCCTCATGTTCTACAACGTCATTGCACTATCAATTGAGGAGGTTGTATCCAATCTCGTATATTCCCAGCCAATAGCTTCTCACCGAAAAGTGGTGCCATGTTGAGCTGCACTGTTGAATCAGATGCTATGCAGATTCCGATGCTCCGATATTAGATCGATCAATTGTGCGCACCCTAAATTGGACCAAGCCTATGTTAGCCAACATAGGCTACGGGAACCACCCGTCACAATGGCACTCTAAGGATGGGCGAATACAGTAGCCTCAGCAGACTCCGAAGCCTAGAGAGTAGTAAAGTTCTATCGAGCCTGACATTGTGGACAGCATAGAATGAGTGCGCAAGAATTACCTTTTATTTAACAGCTCAAAGCAACTTAGCAATGCAAAATCGAAGCGATTATAATGGTCTCGACTCCTATTGTTGGTATGAAAAAGGTCATAAACTAAAAGTCTATTAGTTCACTTAAAGTTATGAGAGTACTTGTGTAAGTATTTCGAACTATCCTTCAGAAGAAATGCGCATTCATGGTTCATACATTATCTTCTGAGTTGATGCTATGGAATTGCCATCTAGCCTATATTCAGATAATGATTTATCCGAATGTCAGAATTCACACATCGAGAGAAATAGCCAATGCAATCCAACAATCACCGACTCTAAATAACTCCATCTAGATGAATCATTCCGAAACCTATGTGTCTAGAAATATACCAGTAATCTTCAGCTCAAGCTGTCCATGCTGATACCTACCACTGTATCCTAGGTATTTGATTATGTGCTGCCCAAGATGGTCAATGGCAGAGGACGTAAAGGGCTACAACAACACAATGAAGCAAGAGTATGAAGTTTGATTACTGTCTTTTTTTTTTTTTTTACGGACGAGAGAAAACAACTAATCCTAGAGGGGAGGTCCTGTTATGTCTCCTAACTATTGGTAAAGTCTACACGCTTGGTGTCCAACGCCCCCGGTAGAAGACGTTCAAGGAGTCTAGGCTCAACCTCTATGGGCCCCAATTCCTTGCCTGTATATTTTGTTCAGTGAATAATTAGATACAGCATGCCTGATTTGAGATAAAATGTAATGATCTTCTCTAAAATCTATGGAATGTTGTGTCGATTTGAACCCATTTGTTCCTAGCTCATTTTGATGACACCAATATTATCTAGCCTCATGGACATTCCGTAGGAGGGCAAGACTGAATACCTGTACGCGGTGTCCTCTACGAACCTGGGAGTGAAATATTCTCCCAGAGCCAAGTTCAGTCAAATTTCGCAATATCAAAGAAGTTGGCCCACGAGGCAAAAATCCAAGTTACTTATCCACGTCGTTATTTCGCTCCCAACGAGTTTGACTCCTATCTTCGTCTCATCAAGTCTATAAGTACGACCAAGTACATCCTCATCCCGATGACCACACCGCTCTTCGACCTTCTCTGGCCTCAGTTGACCGCCAAATACACGCCCACGCCGATATTTATACCCGACTGAGGAAGCAAAGCGTGGCGCACAAATCTGAGAGATAGTTATTTGAGATGGACTTGAGAGGAATCAGGATAAGTCGACATGATGATACGAAGGATGGATACAAACTTGATGGGCGTGAAATTCCGAATTTTGGCAAGGAGTTTTTCGAATTGGGCTTTATGCGCGCCAGGACTTCGCTTGCGAGAGTGCAGTTGACACTATAAAAACAAGCAAACGATGGAAGGTGCTGTGGTCCTCCTCCTTGTGGTGTTCTCTGGTATAGTTTGAGTAGCCTGGGCACCTACTCCACTTGGGAAGGAGACACCTCAGATCACATATCGCGCGGAGAAAAGTTGAAAGGTGATGGAGGCATGTCTGGATAACTCGGGGTTTTTGAGACGTTCCCCTGGGTGGGTATTCACGGATGAGGGTTGAATTGGGGTGAAGAAAAAGCCGCCATAACTTCGCAGTGGTACTTGCAAATGAAATCCGAGGCATGAGTGCTCTTCTTGTAAATTGAGTCATCTATCATACACTTCTCTGATATTGTGTCATAGCTAGATAGCTGCATACGCAATTAAAATCTGATGCAAAAAAAAAAAAATGGACATTCCGTAACTGTCGATAATGGCCCGGGGAGCTTGGCAGTTGAATATACCCAAGCCATAAACCCTTCTAAAATCTGTATTTCCCGAGGCTAATTCGGCCACCACGGGCCCGAGCCCTTGTTTTGTTTTGTTCATTAACGTGCTAGGTTACATGGCTACTGTTGCACTCCTATTGGAGCTTAAGCACGTGTGGGGTTGGGCCGGATCAGGTTAACTACCGTGAAGTACAGATAAGCCTTGTCCCACTTTCATGACCTGACCACCTCAGACTTCACCCATGTGTTGAATCATACCAAGCCTAACCGTCCAGAAACCCGCTGTATACAGGCCGTAGCGCAATTTCCTCCTCAGTCTCGGCCACTACACACCCGAGCCCTTGACATCCTCGTTGACTCCAGAATACAAAAGTAGTCTCAGATCTCATTGTTGGTCTAGCATAGCACCTTCATATCGTTCCGTCGGGTTGTTGTTGTCAGTGGAGATTTGTGCGATCCCCTCGGTGTATTTTCCCTTTTCTTCCTCCTTTGTACACGTCCCGTTTCCATCATGACTTTCCTCATTAGGGCATGTATAGGTAGGTGATCAGACAGGTATGGAAGTGGGTTGCAGGTATAGGAGTGACTGAGAAATACTTCGTCGCAAATATGTAAGGAGTATGAGAGATGTCGGATGTTTGAATACGACCCCCAAATAGACCTAAATCCTTTCATAAATTGTATGCAAGTGGTGATGAGTTTTTGTTCAACCTTGTTCCGGCCGTGAAATCTAGACTGTCTGATTTTTCGACCAAAATATCGAGTGCAACTCCTTCAAGTCGAAAATCCATCAAGTAAAATTCATCCCACCCTTTTTCGTGACTGAATCTCGGCTCTGGGAGAAAATTTCACTGCCAGGTTCGTAGAGAGCTCCACTGACAGGTGTTCAGCCTTCGTCCTCCGTGTATCAACTTAGTGTTGGGTGAGAGGTCGATTGTCTCCAAGTTTTCTAACATGCGAAACCGCGTCACTAGACCTTGTCGGGTTGGGCCGGAAGTCAATAGTCCTCTAACCATTCAACCTTACTCTTCTTACTAGGCCCAGGTGCAGCCCGTAATAGAGGAGAGTGTTGGCAATCGAGACTTAGTATGAAGGTTTAGATTTCTAGGTATCATCATCAAGATCAATTGAATTGATTAGATTGCATATGATCAAGCTCAGCTTGGCGATATGGGGTTCAATGATATCTGAAATGCTACCTTGCAATAATTAAGTGGCTGGTTGTTGCTAGATCACTGGGAGTCCGGGATCACTAGAGCCTCGGGGATCTGCATTTATGGACAGACATATTTGTGCATTTTGAACGAAGTTGACAAAATATTATATATTATTAATTCATATTGAGAAGAGAGTTTGATATCACATACAACTATCAATAAATCCTAATCCGAACATGTCACTCATTTAGTCAACTTCCACTTTTGTTCCATAAGTATTGCGCTCCTTTCATTGCGCGATATTTCCAACACAACTCCATACTGCCACAATAACTACCTATGCGCCAGCCACTAGACCTATCATACTACAGAGCTGAGCATACCAGTGGCTAATGCTAGATGAGCCGGATGACTTGACAGAGCATCTTCTCGCTATAGCCTGGAACCAACACTATACAATACTGTATGAAAATGGAATGAGATGGCACAGAAGACTCAATTTGTAAGGCATTGCCTACAAGTATGAGGGTATTGGACCTTGGGGCAAAGACTGAACACCCGTACACGGTGTACTTTACGACCCTGGAGTGAAATACTCTCCCAGACCCAGATACAGCCAAATTCCGCAATACCAAAGAAGTTTACCGACGGAGCAATGATCTAAGACTCCCAACGAGATCGATCTCCACCAAACCCTTATTAGTCTTGCAAGTGTCACGGCTTCAGTACAAAATGCATGGGCAACGGTGTAAGTACAGTAGATTATGTTGAGCGGATTGGTTTGCAAAAGCTTGTGGCTGTTAGGCACAGATTGTATCACTTGGTGAAGCGAGTGGGAAAGTAAAGGAGTCTGTAAATCTGTCGTGGAGAGTTGTTAATTACTCCCACTAGGACACAGAGTGCTATATAAACTATATTTTGTAATAATAAAATCTAGTGGTTGGTATTTACGTCAAAGCACATTAATACTAACCTCACAATTAATGGGAGATTAGTGACGTGTCTTCTACACATCCCTGTCTTTACCATAATTGGAAGCACCAATTTCAACAGATTAATCATAATTCTCTGGAGAGAGAATCACCTAATCTAAAGACTACATGATATACACTCAAAGTTAATGCCCTACGATAAGATTCTCCCTGCGACCTGAACTACCGAGCCTCTTTGACAAACATCTGGAAGCTTCTCGGTACACCCGGCAACCTCATGAACCTCCGGTATGCTTCCAGAAGGTCCACTGAGAATATTCCAAGCCCCGTGGCTGCCGAGATCTTTGCCGAAGATTCCCTCTGTGAGATTGTCTTCGATACTCAGCGTAGGCTACAGGAATCTTTCGGCTCAACGGCAGTCACAGCAAGAATGACTCAGTATATCCTCATTTCAATGGCCACACCTCCAATCGACTATTCTCTGGCCTTAGCCAGCCACTATATACACGCCCACGTCGATATTTATACCCAGTAGAGGGAGCAGAGTGTGGTGCACAAACCTGGGAGAAAGTTCTTTGGGATGGGCGTGAGAGAAATCAGGACAAAGTTACAAGATGATACAGAGGATGGAAACAATCTCGACGGCCCTGTCTCACACTTTCATTACAAAATGCATGAGCGATGTTGTAGGTACAATATTTTAATTATAATTCTCTGAAGAGAGGATTCCTGTATTTAATGACTACCTATATATAAAGTCTGAAATGTTAAAGTTATGAGCTTGAGCGAAGATGGAGGTTGTAGCGGAATCAGTGTCGGCGGTTAGACCGATGCAGTAAGTCTCGTATGAGGTTGTGAGAGGAAGATCCGAGTGGAAACAATTGTATTTAGATATATGGTTCAGAGTAAAACCGAGATGATAAGAATGAGATTGCGTGTTTGCATGTCTTATCAACTGTGGTTTTTGACCAGTATTTATCAATCTCCATGGATCGTAAGTTATGATCCATGTAGATGTAGATCTATGTACATACACATATATGGGTCAGGAATATAAAGCTAAATACATGTGTGTCGGTAATAGATACGAGAAAACTATAACCTGCATCTGAGACATAGTCATCCGCTGGAATGCTAGTGTGAAATAAACGCTAATGCGCATTAAACTTTCGGTGAATGATGTATTGATAACAGTGATATAGAATGGGGAATTTGATAGTCAAATTAGCCGGACTTACTAATAAGTTATTCTTGGCATTCCAAGATATATCATATTTCAACATGAAATACCCCTCCTCGATAAGGTTCTCTCTGTTACTTGACAGCTTAGACTCTCCAATAATCACCTAGGAGATCCTTGATACTCCTGTAACTCTCACAAACTCTCAGTATGTTTCGACAAGGTTCAATGTGAATCATCCCAGTTCCCTGTCATCCATGATGTTTCTAGGTGTTGTAAAAATCTGAGTTCATAACTGCAAACACCATCAGGGGATAACTGTGCACCAGCAAAGTTAACTCCTTAGAGTCTGATCACTATTGCCTCCTGGTCACTACACACTAACATCAACGTGTTCACTACAATGAGGACACTAATTTAGTTACTCTAGCTATCATAGACAATAACATGTAGAGGAATAAGGGTAGGAACTCCTGTATATAGATAGGGCCTTTGTACTCTCACTATCTACATCCATCATCCACAAATACAATTCACCATCAATCAATTATCTTACTCTGTCCAAGTGATCTATTGAATTCTCCCATACCTATCAGTATTCTATTCACAAGGTGACGTCTCCCTATCCATCGCCCTCAGCCTTTCAATACTAGGAACCTCCCTTCGTATAATAGCCTGCGCTAGACAGCGTAGGCTACAGGAACCCTAAGGCTTGACAGCCGTTACACTCTGAGATTTGGAATTTTGCCAAGTAGTTTCACAAATGGAGCTCTGTCTGCGCGTCAAGACTTCGGTTTTGAGAGTGCAGCTAGCACTATAAATACAACCCAACCATGGAAGGCGCCGTGGTCCGCCTCCCGATGGTGTTCTCTGGTAAAGTTTGGGCAGCATGGCCACCTACTCCGCTCGGGTAAGAGACACCTCAGACCACATTTTGCGCGAAGAAAAGACAAAAGATGATGGTATGTCTGTTGGAAAATATACTCTGTACGATATTAAATGGACAAATATGATGAAGTAAAGAAGACTTGGTATTTTACAACTATGTGAACATTGGACTTATATATACATCTTAGGGGAGAAATTCCCACTCGTCTCATGTGCCTGTCAAACCTAGTGATGATCAGCCACCTCTCATCTACCATGATGAGCCAAGGTACACTGTAGTAGGTAAATATCTAAATGTATATGCAATAGTAGGCGCGATCAGCGCACTCGTGACATGTGTAGAGAGAGTCGATCTTGTCGGGAACCTGAGACAAAACAGGTAGTGGTTGAGTCCTAAATCCGAGAGTCAGAATTTCCAACAATGTCTAGATAATTCAGGGTGTTTGAGAAATTTCCCTGGGTGGTGTGATAGAACCAAGCTGGCTGTGATGAAACTCGATGTATTGAACAAATTAAAGAAAGGAAACTATTGCTACCAAAGGAGGTTACTTATAATCCTTTCTAACTCGTCCCTTACTTCACTATTAGATAGTACTTTAACCAGATGTCATTTAATTCTCACTCAAACATCACCTCACTCCAACTCGCACGTTATATGAGATGTCTCCTTATACGTCATTCCCATGATTTAGAAATGATGTAACCACCTTCGATCTTGCTTAGGTGCCTGCACAAGCCACAACACGGTCAAGCCGTAACAGGTGGGTATTTACGGATGAGGGATGACTCAGGGGGAACAAAAAAGCTGCCATAACTTCACTCTTGTACTTGCAAATGGAATCCGAGGCATTAGTGCTCTTGTTGTATATTGAGTCATCTGTTCTGCACCTTTTCTCTGATATTGTGTCATAGCTAGCTAGCTATATACACAACTGAAATCTGATGCAAAAAAAAAGAGGGTATAGGACTTATCAGTTAACGGACCATATCCACCTATCCTCACCTGTACATCACAAGTCGCAGTTAGTAGCCACATTTGATGTCCATCACAGGAAGCATTATTAGCCTGGTCGAGGTATTGTTGTGATGGGCATGTTATACAGCTAGGATACTTGCATGTATATAACGTGATTAGATGTTTACGCTGTTTGTGTAGCTCCTGTATTGTTTGGGATATCTGCAGGAGGAAGCTCACGTGGTCAGGAGCCGACTAGCGGCCGCACATGAGTATAAGTAGCGAGTGCTCGGCACGCAATTAGTATAGTAAAATTAAAATATAGTGAACCTCAGATACACCTTCAACCACAACCTGAACTCATCAATCTACATACTCGTACAAGGTCAGCATGCATAGTGAAACTAACCTAAGCTCACAACCACAATAGGTATGTTATAAGTGGGAGGCTCTTGGTATGAATCTCGGTAGATCAACAGCGGATTAGCCCTATCATGGAGGATCTGAATTCCTGCACGTATGAGCTCTATTATACAAATGTCTCAATTCTAGTTTAGCTGAGTATTGCTGTTGGTGGCCTTGGGCGTCGAAGCATCATCTCCAGGACTCGCAGCTCACATTACTCGATAAGTACGGGCTCGCACGCGTATCGTTCGACTATGGCACGCAGCTAAGCCATAAAATAAGTTATGATTCACCATTGTGGCTCCTACAACATGGTTTAAATGTAAAAAACTAACGGGCAGCATCCAGCTTCCCGTGGAATCCGCACAAAGTGATGGTAAACTTATCAAGCGTAGAGAGCGCAAAATGAATGCGTATATTGTGGTACCTGCTCGTGCATCAAACTGGACCCGGCTGCGCCTACTTCTTGCTCACGCATGTAAATAGCACAGACTCGTCTAAAATTATCAATTAATAGAATATACCGGATTTGAACCATGCGACCTTTTATAAAAAGCTCTGTGCTTGGAAATTAACTGTGATACATTGTTTTTGTAGGGCGGTGATACTTACGGTCCATCATTGAGTTGAGCATATGATCATAATAAAATGTTGCTTGATCATCATCATACAAGACAAACCATGATTCGTCTGTTGGCCACTTGATGTTGTAAACGTCTATCGCTCGAGCTATTGTCTTTTTATTTTCCTCCATGAGTCAATCTGCCTCTAATTTTTCCTCCCAATATTGATGTACATTAATAATTTTATTGTAACACATAAATTTTTTATCTATCTCATTTGCATGAGATAATTTGTAGATAGCAAGGGTAGGTACGAACAAGGCGGCACATTGAAAAATGATGGCAATGTTGGAAGCGAGCATGATTGCTGATTGGTTGGGTTCAAGTGAGAGCCGATGTATGGAATCTCGGATGGTCATTTGCAGTTTTCAGGACAATGGCCTACATAAATACTCGTCCAGCTCTGTCGACCTTTTGCTAGACTGCGGTGATAGTTGGTCTAGGCAACCCATAGATCTAGATATGTGGAGCTTCTTAACCTTTCCATCAGCTCACTTTTCTTTAGGCCCTCGGAGTCTCTTGGAGATGTTGTGTGTTTGTTTGTTCATTTACGTGCTAGGTGAAGTAACTACTGTCGCACTCCTACTGGAGCTTGAGCAGGAGTGGAATCGGGCCGGATTAGGTTAAATACCGCGCAGTACAAATGCCTCGTCCCACCTAAATGACCGGAACCATGCCAAATCGCATCTATGTGTTGCATCAACGATGTTGTGTGGAGGTTAGAGGTGTGTAAAATCTATCATGCCTTGCGCCAATTCTTTCCAAAGAAAGAGCCGTCTAGGATGGAATATTTCTGATCCCGTATTTGTCAGCAATAACTGTAGGCCATCCCTCATCTCCCGCTCCCGGGTCTCTTCTCAAATATGGTAGGGAGATTCTCTGCATGATTCAACGACTTAGAGGACAACCGATTCTTCCGTGGTTGAAGGTATGGGGTTGCCATGATGCTGGTTTTGTGATGCTCGCTCCGGTCAAAAGAAGCCGCCGGTTGCTGACTGGAATACTTCATGTTGGGTGCCACCTGACTCTCGGGTGTCTCTTTGGTGATGTGATCCTCGCACAAATCAACTTCCCCAAATTGGCCGAAGAGGTGTGACGTCGTGTATCTCGACAGAGTTTGTTCAAGTTTACTGGCTTCATTGTGCCAGAAAGTTTACGTGACACAAATGTGGAGAGGATTTCACTATCTTGTCTCGGCGCCGAGTCATCTTTGTCATAATTGGCTACGGGGATTTGTTCTCCAGGATACATTAATTCCCTCGCTCTACATCCCTTCATAGGAAGCATTACTTTTAGTATTAGGACATGGAATGTATCCCACAACATGTCTCTTTAAATTTCCCCTGAGATTGGCATTGCGACCGTTCACGAGCCACATGGCATCTACGAAATGCCTCGGAATCCTACCTTGCCTGCCTATTTACTTGCAGCCACTCGATGACGGAATTTCTCACAATATTGTGTCATGTCGCCATACTCTATCCCGGCAATTATCATATGGTGATGGGTAATCCCTAGCAACATCAGTCCTAGTCGTCGTCTTCGGTTCATCAATAGATAAAGCTCAATCGTCCGTCAACAAAGTGTCTCAGCCTCCTCGGCGCATTTTCTGAGAAGTCGATTGAAAGCGGCAAGATGGTAACTTTTGTCTGAGGTCAATTTAAAATTTAATTGACGTCATCTATGATGATTCTGTAGAGCTGATAAGTAGGTACTCCGCAGGTAAATGGTGTGATGTGCCAGACAGTACCAATGTGGACTCAAGGTAGGTGCCTTTCATGTATCCAGGCACCTTTTGCACAGACCACACCGAGCTGTGATTGAAGGCTACATACTATATATTAATTACTCTTTTTACAATATATCTGTTATCAGGGGAGGCAGAAAGAAGCTGGAAAGATAGCGGCCTTTCAGGAGTGGAAGGATTCGTGGACATGCCAGAACAGGAAATATTGTGCTGGTGATGGCTAGGATTACGATGCACGAGGGTAATGATCACTGAGGGTGAAGGAAGAACTTTCCAGGTGGCTCCATCATGAGTAGAGGAACAATAGAGCACTATATAGAAAGTGTTTCTAGATTGTACTGCCAGATGGAGGAGACTAGAATATTCCGTGATACTATTTTGGGTAAATAAGGCGAGAGTCTGGCTACCTCAGATGTGTATATAATTAGCGCTTTCTATCTCCTAAATCCTCATAGTTCTGAATATCAAAATATATCAGCAGTTCACATTGATCCATCGATCCATCGATAATCATCCGTAAACCTTCTGCCAATTAACCTCTGTGAGCTCTTACCTTTACAACAGGAAACAGCGCCCCGGCCGACCAGCATCAGCCGATCTAGGATTTTGGAAAGCGACAAATATATTTACTGATGAACAAACAGGCAGCACCAAAATGAATTTCAAAGATATGCCCTTAAGAATATACCGTAACCTAATCATGGCCCAAAGCAGTGTCGCCATTCAGCTAAGAAGCGAGCATATCAGGCTCAATTTCGAACTGTGCACAAGGAAAGTATCCGGGGCAGAAAAGCCGGGCTGACAATGTGGATGTCCGTCACAAAACGTCAAGCACATGGTGATGGCGCGTCTGCAGTGGGCAAATGGAAGAGGCAACTTTCTCCGAAAAGCTAAAGACAGATCATTCGAAGCAGTAATTAACAGTCCAGAAGATATGGCCAGAATCTCACAGTAGATACTAAGCAAAGGGTGGATTAAACAGTTTCGACTTGCAGGGGAAGTTGAGGTAGCGATGTCGGATATAATAAATCATTCTGGAAGGAGAGAGGACGGTATGCACACTGGCTGAACAGTGTAGACTGCACTTTCTAAGGGTAAACTAGACAAACGGATATGGAGGTCAAGACTGAACACCTGTATGCGGTGTCCTCTACGAACCTGGGAGTGAAATATTCTCCCAGAGCCAAGTTTAGTCAAATTTTGCATTACCAAACAAGTTGGCCCACGAGTCAATGATTCAAATTACTCCACCACGTCAAATATTCACTCCCAAAGAGTCCGATTCATACCTAAGCCTCATCAAGTTCACAAGTACGACCTAGTACATCCTTATTCCAATGACCACACCACTCTTCGACCTTCTCTGGCCTCAGCTGGTCACCAACTTCACGCCCACGCTGATATCTATACCTGTAGTGAATAAGCATGAAGTTTTATTGTGGTGCTATCTAGCATTAAGTACATTGTATCAGTCAAATTTCGCAATATCAAAGAAGTTGGCCCACGAGGCAAAATTTAAAATTACTCCTCCACGTCGTTTTTCCGCTCCCAACGAGTTTAACGCATACCTAATTCTTATCGATTCTACAAGTACGACTTAGTACATCCTCATCCCAATGACCACACCACTCTTCGACCTTCTCTGGCCTCAGCCGGTCACCTAATTCACGCCCACGCCGATATTTATAACCGACGGAGGAAGCAAAGCGTGGCGCACAAATCTGGGAGACAGTTCTTCGGGATGGACGTGAGAGGGAGCAGTACAAGATGATGCGATGGAAGGATATAACCTCAGAGGGCGTGAAATTCTGAATTTTGGCAAGGAGTATTACGAATTGGGCTTTGTACGTGCCAAGACTTCGCTGGCAAGAGTGCAGCTGACACTATAAAAATAAGCAAACGATAGAAGGTGTTGCAGTCCGCCTATTGGTGGTGCTCTCCGGTATAGTCTGAGTAGCCTGAGCACCTACTTCACTTGGGCAGGAGACGCCTCAGACCATGTTTTGCGCGGAGAAAGGTTGAAAGGTGATGGAGGCATGTCTGGATAACTCAGGGTTTTTGAGACGTTCCCCTGGGTGGGTATTTACGGATGAGGGTTGAATTGGGGTGAAGAAAAAGCCGCCATAACTTCGCAGTGGTACTTGCAAATGAAATCTGAGGCATGAGTGCTCTACTTTTAAATTGAATCATCTATTCTGTACTTTTCTTTGACATATTGTCATAGCTAGATAGCTGTATACACAATTAAAACCTGATGCAAAAAAAAAAATAGACAAATAGAAAGTAATATAAACAGACAGGATCAAGGGGGTTTCACCGAATTGGTTTCCTCCTTTGTAAATAATGGAGATAGTCACCTGCAAGGACCCATAAGGTGCCTGATCGGGTTAAATGAAATAAAATTCAAAAAAATATATGTTAATGGTATTTAATCTTCAGAATCCACTGCATCAGACAATTAGTTGGTTGGGGATCTAACTGCCTCGCGATACCCGGAATTCTGAAAATTAGGAAGACATACTAATGTGATAGTTGATATCTGATAGATTGATTGTCTCTAATGCTTGACCCGTAATCATTGCCTTACTATATATCTAGACCCCACATTTGTTGTATAGACATGAGTCCATGACTGAAAACACTGTCAGGGGATAACTGAGCATTAGCTTAGTTAGCTCCTTAGAGTCTGATCACGATTGTCTCTTCATTGCTACACAACAATATCAACGTGCCCACTAGTATAATGGCACCAGTTGAGTTACTCTAACCTTGATAGACTTTAACATGTCGGGGAAAAAGGGTGGGAACTCCTATATATTGGCGGAAAATATACTCTGTACAATATAATATGGATATATGTGGTGAAGTAAAGAAGACTTAATATATTTTACAACTATGAGAACATTGGACTTATATAAATATATGGGAGAAATTCCCACTAGTCTCATGTGCCTGTCAAATCTAGTGATGACCAGCCACCTCTTATCTACCATGATGAGCCAAGGTACACTGTGTTACAGCTTGAGTTTACAGATGATAGGTTTATGGTATCACGTGATGTGGAGTCTGGTTGAGTAAGCGTTGGTCCCGGAAGCAAGCTGGTGGAGTTTTCAGCCCAGCGAGGCTGCAGAACTCTTTCTCTCCTTGTCTTTTCTTTTAGTTATCGTGCGTAGCTTTAGGTCCAAATACAAAGCAATTACTCTTTTATATTTCGAGGGAGTCTTCTAGTGTCAACCTGAGGTCGGTCGTAATACACTGTAGAACGTAAATATCCACTGTAGTACCACAGTGCCAAGTTTGCAGTGGGGCTTTGGCAGGGGTTTTAGCGTGTAAACTAACACTCCTTAGGCATAGTCACCTTCCGTATTGGGGTTAACCCCTGTA